GCATCAGCAACACCAATTGTAGCGTTTAAGTGAATGGAATGCAATCTACAGGTTCATGAAATTCACATACTGACCTACTACTTTTCTGGAATCATAGTTATTGTCTCCTCAATAAAGTGAGCAATGGGTATTGTACTTGCGTAAAATCAATAGGCTGTGAACAACTGCCAATGAAAACGACAGAATTTCTTGGAATTATCAGTTATAATTTCAGCTGGATCACATGCAACACTCAGCAGTTGTTAAATGGTCACTTCATCAACATCGAATCCATACAGAAAGTGCAGAAGATTTAGTACAACATGCACACTCCTGATGTCAATGGAAGTGAACATTGAACGTTTGTTTTATTGGAACTGGCAACCATTGGCGGGCAATTGAAGGCGCGAATGGAACGATCGCTTGCAAGTTGAAAGAAGACTGGAGTTAAATACGAATAAAAGTACTTTATAACATCATTTGTACTTAACATTTGTTTGTAGACTTTGTAGTTTTCTTCACTTTAATTGCCAAACAATATAATTTCGTTCAAGGAATACTGGTGTTTTGGATTTAAAGTTGGAAAACGTACATAGTATTTATCGGTTCAATCGCTTAAGTCTTCAGTACAATAGGAACTTAGGGCTAAGTTCCTTGACAGTTTTTATTCTTCTCTACGTCTTCGTGGGCGCCTTCTGGAAATCGTCCGGGTGTACTTACTAGATCTGCAGCCAGCTTCTCTTTGGACAAGGATTATCAACGCAATTTGGATTCTTTGGTGACGTTGGATAATGCCTGGGTCAAGAAAGGGATGTGGCACCATGGAAGCAGACAAAAAAGTAAGTAACGATGAGTTGCCTGTTAATTGTAATGATATGTATGATGCTCAGCATGTTAAGTTTGATGTTCACGCTTCACCGTTAAGGGATAGTAAGGGTTTAAGATTGCCTAAGTTTGAACCGCGATACTTCGATGGAAACCCAGCTGACTACCCACAGTTCATCAAAGAGTTTGAGGTCATGCTGAGTGGTTTTGTATTAAATGATGAAATGAAGTTAATGTATTTGTTGAGATATTGCACTGGTGTAGCTGCAAGAGCCATACAGTGCTGCAAGTTTATGCCCCCGAACGAAGGATATACCGAGGCAATGAAGATACTACGTCAAAGGTTTGGAAAACCATTTATGATATCCCGTAGTATTTTCGAGACAGTGAAAGGTAACGGATCACAGTTAAACGATAATCCAGAGGAACTTGCAGAGTTCTTGGATAATTTGATGGTATATAGAAATACACTCATGTCTCTTAACTGCGTAGATGAATTGAACTCAAGTTCCGTGCTTGAGACTGTTGCCAAGAGATTACCTGTTCGTCTACAAAGGAAGTTTTAAAGGTTTGTTCACGTCTAGAGGAGGAAGGTTTAGAGCCCAGGTTGGATGACATTGTGAGCCTGGTGAAAGACAGTGTCAACCAAGCTTTGAGCAAGTTTGCTAGTATACTGCATCCCTCCCCTGGAATAGAGAAATCAGAGAGTAAAATGCAATCATTTATGACGAAGGGGTCTCAGCGTAGTGGATATCGAGAAAGCTGTATGGTGTCTAGTAAACCTAATGATTGTGACAGCTTTAGTGAGACGTCCCCAACGGATAAGTTACAAGCTGCGAGACAAACACGGTTGTGCTTCGTCCGTTTGCAAGAAGTGCATACAAAGGCGAACTGTGAAGCAACGAGCAAGTTTAGTGGCAAGCTAAATGTGAAGTCAGCGTCATCGTGTTCTGACTCCGAATTGTGTAACGCTAATGGTGCGGTGAAGAAGCCTGTGGTCGTAACTGGTAATCCATTGTTGAAAAGAGTGTCTCAGACGACACCGCAGTTTGTGCATAAGAAGAGGGTTACAGTTTCAGTGTCCAGTTCTGACTCCACAAGTTTACAAGGTATTACTAGTCAGAGTAAAGGAATAAAACCTTTAAGGATTCATGAAGGAGAACCTGAGTCATCTACGGCTGCTATTAAGGAGTTTGAAAATGATGAAGTCTATCATACAGACGGCGGTAAAGTGGGTATTTGTGACAATGGTCATGATAGTTCACATTTGTCTGTGGCTGATCATGATGAGATTAGCGGAATGCCTACTACTACTGAGTTGAACAAAGGTTCTGTACAACTTGAAAGTGAAGTAGAATTAAGGGCAGATGCGGTTGCTGCAGATATGGATACTCGTGAGACCGTCAGTGTAAATGATTCGCGTGTAGTCAACCTATCGACAGATGTTAACGCAGAACTGGAGCCAATAATGAAAGATGGCAGTGGTGGTAATCCTGTGGTTAGACAACCTCCTAAAGGTCTAACAACAACAGCCTCTGATACACCGCTAAGTTCATTAACTGGTGTCAGCCAGTCGTCGTTGGTGTTGTCATATGCAGTAAAAGAGTCGTCCATGAACCCACGTGTCTTATGCAGTGATTATGTTAGTGTCGGTCCGTTCGAAGGGACGAAAGTCAATGGCCAGTTTAGTGACGATAAGCCAACTGTGTACAAGGTGGTAACTGTTAGACTGACTTGCACGAATAAAGGCATTTCAGGTTTCAAACTACTATTTGAATGTTATTATCTTTGGTGCAAACTACTCTGTAGCTTCGCTTGGTTGGTCAGATACGTCGTATGTTTGTTAGTCATCTACCTTCCACGATACAATGTCATGGGCGTGTTACCATTCAGAGTCGAGGATATAGATGATGGAAGGAGGTCAGCAAATGAGCTCAACGACGATTTTCCAACTTAAGGGCGTAAACCTGAGAAGGGTTGTAGGCGTACTGCTGTAAGTCCTACAATTCTTCAAGGGTAGTACGTCGAAGAGCAGTCCATCGTACTTGGTGTATTATTTTGTACATATGTTCATGTTGTATATAATCAATTGGTATCATCCCTCTTCTATCTGTTGATTAATTTTGTTTGTGTCCGGACGTCTTCCACTTGGATCGTCAACCTGAGAAGCGTTGTAGGCGTACTGCTGTAAGTCCTACAGTTCTTCAAGGGTAGCTCGTCAAGGCAGAATCCGCAATATTTGATGTATTGATTGTACATATGTTTGTGTTGAGTAATTCAGTGGGTTCCGATTCATCTGATTGTCGGTTAATTTTATAGTTGTCGCATTGTGTGAATCATCTTGTAATGTTTTGTAAGTACTTCTGAATTCGCTTCTAAACTTGTGAACGAATCGAGTAGTGTTAGAGTTAGCGTACGCGATTGGATACGCCGGGAAGAGGATTGGGCTAAAGTGGAATAAAGCAACCAATACCCCGTGAACCAGATCAGTGGTGGTACTGTCGTCAGAGAGCGTAGATCCCATGCACCGGGGAGAGCGTGTCGGTGTGATGTGGTATGTTTGCTGTGTGTTGGGATTTTTTGTCATGCTTTTCCAATTTTAGCCTAGTCCCGATTGGCCCAGGTTCCCGCATTGGCAGTTCAGTTCAAGGTTACCGCCGCTGTGGAAAAAAGGGATGGACCCTTTTTTGCCGGGGAGTGTCAATGGAAGTGAACATTGAACGTTTGTTTTATTGGAACTGGCAACCATTGGCGGGCAATTGAAGGCGCGAATGGAACGATCGCTTGCAAGTTGAAAGAAGACAGGAGTTAAATACGAATAAAAGTACTTTATAACATCATTTGTACTTAACATTTGTTTGTAGACTTTGTAGTTTTCTTCACTTTAATTGCCAAACAATATAATTTCGTTCAAGGAATACTGGTGTTTTGGATTTAAAGTTGGAAAACGTACATAGTATTTATCGGTTCAATCGCTTAAGTCTTCAGTACAATAGGAACTTACGGCTAAGTTCCTTGACACCTGATTTCAGTATGCAACATGCACGCCAAATGCATTACTTTAGGGGCCTACACAGTTCACAAAGTAACTCACAACACTGAAGCGCAGAAATTCATATTTGTCCTTACTGAGCTTAATATAGCGGTTCTTGTGAAGTAACTTTCTTATGCAGAAGAGAAGAACAAGGTATTCATAATCTTTTGCTACATGTGGAATCGCAGTGCAACTCGATGCGCAACAGTATATATATGAATAAACTCAAAAATAAAGTCCTCCTGGTGACATACTGTGACATGACAGGAAGTGAGACGGTCAGATAACCAGCGTATTTGACCAAGTTGCTCTCATTAGAAAGAGAAAAGTCATGTAAGACGAGAGAGGGAAAAAAGAAAAGGAGGGATAACAGTACCCTGAGGAACACAACCTTCAGCAAGTAAGGCGGAAGATTTACCCTAATATACAGTATGCTGTATACCATTTGGGAAATGATAATGCAACCAATCACCTATACAGGACTCGTGTTTGCACGACCGAAACCTTACTCAACTAATATCGTCTAGGTCCTTAGTCAATAACGGCATATGTTGAATAACTTAAAGCTTAGCACAAAAGTGATAAAGCACAAAAAACACTTGCAAAGTACGAGACGAATCCCGGGTGGATGAAGAGATTAATGAAAGGTATCTATTTGTCATTTGGCAAAGAACAAGATTAAGAACTGCAATTATCATTTGTTGACATTCTGGAGATCAGTATTCAGTGTTCCACATTTAGTTATGCCTAGCCTGTGTCATTCTGCCTGGCTTTCAGTATGACTTCGCAAAGAAGTCCAACTGTTCAGTTTAGCACATTCCATGCACCACACAAAGGTAGCGACATAAAACTAAATGGAAGTTTAACGAGCGAAAATTTGAGGGAAAATAAGTAGTGACAACATGAGTTGAATAGATACGTGAGATTACACAGAGTGAATGCATCTGTGCCATGAACAAAGACTTGCAGACATATATCTAGTAGTTCTTCTAGCTGACTGTCAACGATTTTATGAACCAATACCATTTTCGCGTTTGACCGACCCAAACACATTTGGGTACAAATAACCAAGGTTGGATCTGTATTGTCTCATCCTAGGCAGATCACAAGTGGGGTTGTGCAAGGTAGTGTCCTAGGTCCACTTTTATTTACAGTATACATCAACAGCATTTGCAACTGCTTCACCTCAGGTAAATCATTCCTATATGCAGACGACCTCAATGTCGTTTACTCCTGCTACGCTCATGAACTAAGCGATATGGTGAATAAAATGCATCTTGAACTAAGTAGTCTCGCAACATGGTGTACTGAATCCTGTCCAAAGTTCAACATTGATAAATGCGGCTGGATTTGTATCGGAAACAGTAACCTTGACCTGAATCTTGAAATAAATGGGCGTAAACTAGCCAAGCTCACCTCAGTCGTAGATCTCGGCATCAGATACTCTAGTAACTTAACGTTCTCTGAACAAACTGATTATGCCAGACGTAAATCACGAAGGCTCCTGGGATGCATAACTCGCAATTTCATTCGTTGTGAAACTAGGGTTTTATTATATAAAGTATGTGTCCGACCTATTTTAGAATACTGCCCGTTTATTCTTAGCGGACTCAGACAAAATGACAAGCTTAAGTTAGAAGGAGTGCAACGCCAATTCACCTTAAGAATTCTTCGTTTAGAAAGTGGTCTCGAATACTATGAACGTTGCGACAGACTAAGTTTAGAACCACTCTGGAAAAGACGTCTTAAGCTGAACCTAATTTTTTACTACAAGCTAACTAATCTGCTCGTGCACTCCTCCGAGCCAATAATTAAACCTACCGCTGTCATCAGTTACAATCTTAGAAATCACCACAACCTAGCTGCTATAGAGCATTGTCAGACTTACATGCGGTATAATTTCTTCTTAAATAAGTTTTCAGTCATTTGGAATAGACTACCAGCTGATGTGCGCGATGCAAACACACTCGCAGTGTTCATCTCCTCAGTCACCAGACTGCTCAAAGATGACAGTGCACTTCTGCGTCTGAACCCTACACCCACTTTTTTGCCAAACATAGATATTTTAAGTTCATTAAACGTGTAGTTACAACAAACTACAATTATAAAATTTTATATTATTGGAAGTACATGATAGACATTTTTACACAGGACAATAATATTAGTTCACACAATAAAAAGTTAGCATCACGGGAATAGTTAGTTAGTGCACCAAAATAACTATAATTACTAAACAGAATATAAATGTATATATACATATTAATCACCCTCTAAGTACTCCACTTGTTTTCTTTTGCGTTGTTGTTGTTTGTCTTCTTTTGTCTCTCACCATTTCAGCTTCCATTTGACTTTTTGAATGAGAATGAAGAATGTGAATATTTGCCCATTTACAATGACAAATGATCTGCAAACATTATTGGTCCCATATCTTACAACTCCCTCGTGAATTGCGCATTG